GGTTAGATGAATCTCAAGATTTCAGTGGACTTGATTTTTCTTTTTTAAAATTTTTATTTATTTGTTTATTTATTTATTTATATTATACTTTAAGTTCTGGGGTACACGTGCAGAATGCACAGGTTTGTTACATGAGCATACACGTGCCATGGTGGTTTGCTGCATCCATCCCCCCATCATCTACATTAGGTATTTCTCCTAATGTTAGCTCTCCCCAATCCCCCCACCCCCTGCTGTCCCTCCCCTAGCCCCCTCACCCCCAGACAAGCCCCGGCGTGTGATGTTCCCTTTCCTTGTGTCCATGTGTTCTCATTGTTCAACACCCACTTATGAGTGAGAACATGCAGCGTTTGATTTTCTGTTCTTGTGTCAGTTTGCTGAGAATGATGGTTTCCAGCTTCATCCATGTCCCTGCAAAGGACAAGAACTCATCCTTTTTTATGGCTGCATAGTATTCCATGCTGTATATGTGCCACATTTTCTTTTTCCAGTCTATCATTGATGGCATTTGGGTTGCTTCCAAGTATTTGCTGTTGTAACAGTGCTTCAATAAACACACGTGTGCATGTGTCTTTACAATTGAATGTTTTATAATCCTTTGGGTATATACCCAGTAATGGGATTACTGGGTCAAATGGTATTTCTAATTCTAGATCCTTGAGGAATTGCCACACTGTCTTCCACAATGGTTGAACTAATTTACGCTCCCACCAACAGTGTAAAAGTGTTCCTATTTCTCCACATCCTCTCTAGCATCTGTTGTATCCAGATTTTTAAATGATTGCCATTCTAACTGGCATAAGATGGTATCTCAATGTGGTTTTGATTTGCATTTCTCTAATGACCAGTGATGGTGAGCTTTTTTTTTATGTTTGTTGGTTGCATAAATGTCTTCTTTTGAAAAGTGTCTGTTCATGTCCTTTGCCCACTTTTTGATGGGGTTGTTTGTTTTTTTCTTGTAAATTTGTTTAAGTTCTTTATAGATTCTGGATATTAGCCCGTTGTCAGATGGGGTAGATCACAAAACTTTTTTCCCATTCTGTTGTTGCTGGTTCACTATAATGATAGTTTCTTTTGCTGTGCAGAAGCTCTTAAGTTTAATTAGATGCCATTTGTCTATTTTGGCTTTTGTTTCCATTGCTTTTGGTCATGAAGTCCTTACCCATGCCTATGTCCTGAATGGTATTGCCTGGGTTTTCTTCTAGGGTTTTTATGGTGTTAGGTCTTATGTTTAAATCTTTAATCCATCTGGAGTTAATTTTTATATAAGTTGTAGGGAAGAGATCCAGTTTCAGCTTCCTGCATATGGCTATCAAGTTTTCCCAACACTGTTTATTAAATAGGGAATCCTTTTCCCATTGCTTGTTTTTGTCAGGTTTGTCAAAGATCAGATGGTTGCAGATGTGTGGTGTTACTTCTGAGGCCTCTGTTCTGTTCCATTGGTCTATATTGATTTTTCAATTTACGTCTATACAAATGGCTTGTCTATGTGATAGGGAGCAATCAGGGAGAAAGCATAAAGCAGCTACATAAACAATTTAAGAAGCATATTGTTTCAGACTCAGGGTATCATAGATACATTATATGATTTATATGATTTTATGCTGAAACAATATGATGTAGATACACTGTTTCTGTTAAAATGTTGAGGTGTTATAGCCATGGCAGTTCCATTTCAGGTAAAGGAAAAGGAGCTGAGAAAGGAAAGAGGGAGATTGTTTATAAAAATGCTGTTAGATTTCTGATAATATATTTAACTCAGTTTTCCACTCTGGCTTAAACAATTTATTTTATTCTATCTTCCCAAGGAAACATCTTCCTAAATTATATTTTTTAGCCAGCCAATCCTTTGCACAGATATACCTAGTGAGCCTCTCATTGCCAGTGGATCAGAATCTTAACCAGCCTCCCCAGTCCCCCCACAACCTGGTCTTATCTAGCTCATGGAATTATACATTCTGTAGATTACATTTTGAGTCACTCTTCCAAAGGTAGAGGCTCATATTTTCTCTTTTCTCTGATTATAGTCTACCCATACCCTTTTCTGTCCCCAAGTCTTCATCGATGGTGTCTTATTACTACATTTCTCCACATTTCGGCCTACTCTGTTATTTTTCTTTGATCTCCCATAGTAGTTCTGTGTTTACTTCTGACTGGGCACTTATTTTTAACTATTTCAATAATAATAAAACTATAGTAGTGTCTTATTCAGCTTGAGTTATTATAATAAAATGCCATAGATTGAGTAGTTTAAGCAATAGACATTCATTTCTCACAATACTGGATGCTGAAAAATCGAAGATCAAAGTCCCAACAGATTCACTTCCTGGTGAGGGTTCTTTTCCTAGCTTGCAGATGACTGCCTTCTTGCTATATCCTCATATGGGGGATGGTGGAGATGGAGAGAGAGAGAGATCATGGAGGCCCCACTTATATGACCTCATCTGTGTTTAATTACCACCCAAAAGACCCAATCTCCAAATACCATCACACTGAGAGTTAGGGCTTCAACAATGAATTTGGGGACAATACACATTCAGTCTGTTACAAATAGTTACCATTTTTAGTGTTTAGGATATGCCAGCTACTGTTTTTAGTACTTTACATGAATTAACTAATTCAATCCTTACCTCAATTCAGTAAGTATATAATTATCCCCATTTTATAAATAAGGAAATGAGTTACTAACTATGTATAGTTGTACAGCTAGTAAGTAGCAGATCTGGAATTCTACCCCAACCTGGAACCAGACAGGATTCTTCACCACAGCTCTGAATTGCCATTAATAAGTATCCTTCATAGATGTTTCATTCTCTTAAAATTTGTACTCTTTAAGGTCAAAGACAAAGTCTCCTTGTTCTTTGCTTCACCTCATGACATAGTCTTGTGCCTGGAACAGGAAGTTGGTCTGTAAACATCTGTTTATTGGTGTGATCTATTGTCAGTGGTCAGTGAAGTTCTAATAGTTTTTCTGGGAATTTTGGCTTGGTTGGTTTGATTTGGTGGTTTTGTTTTGAAACTTTCAAAAGTTTGTGAGATGATTAACGTGGCTGTCAATAATTCAAATATGTAGCTTTCATTGCCTAAAAGAATGATGTTCAGTGGTGGTTGAATATACTAATTTACGTGAGACTAAATCTCAAATTTTGTTCTGTGCTTTAAAGTAAGCATTTTAAGTTTGTGTGTTTATTTTCTTAAGTAATTTTTTTCTTTTCTTTTTTTTTGAGACAGAGTTTTGCTCTTGTCATCCAGGCTGGAGTGCAATGAGGTGATCTTGGCTCACTGCAACTTCTTTCTCCCGGGTTCATGTGATTCTCCTGCCTCAACCTCCCAAGTAGCTGAAATTACAGGCGCCCACCACCATGGACAGCTAATTTTTGTATTTTTGGTAGAGACCGGGTTTCACTATGTTGGCCAGGCTGGTTTCAAACTCCTGACCTCAGGTGATCTACCACCGCGGCCTCCCAAAGTGCTGGCATTACAGGTGTGAGCCACTACGCCCAACTGTCTTAAGTAATTTTGTTATTATTTGGGTATTTGATATGTCAGATACAATGAATAAAAGCAATCTATACTTCACCTTCTTTGCAGTATCAAATCCTGAAACTATATTTAATTTTTTGCAGTTCCTCCTTGATTTATTTGAGGGAAGTAAAGACTTCATGGAGTAAATTGTGAAGATTGGTTATGTTGAAGTTACCTTTAATAGGTACCCTATGCATACAATATTAAACTGTTGGATGAGATTTTTTTTTCCTAGTAAAGATAAAATAGCCAAAAAGCTGAAGTCTAATATTCCTGAAATTTGTTTATTTTGTTTCTTTTATCTGTTGTTTTTAACCACATACTGCTTGATAAGGTCGGTACTCAGAACTAGGTATTTTGAGTGCTCTAATGGTTTATACATATGCCTGTATATTAGTTGGTAATCTTTGTGAACCAAAGCTATTTCTGGCTGATATAATAAAAAATATTTGGAAGAGTACTGGATAACTTGCAGAATCAAGGGGAAAATGGGATCATTTGTCAGTCTTAAGAAGAATAAGAATTGTAACAACTGTCACATTTTAGAGTCACCAACCAGGAGTATCTCAGTTGTTGAATGGCTCAATTCTGTTTTCAAGCAATGATCTGCTCAGGATTTATGTTCTTGGGAGGGGGTCAGATTTGCTCCAAGCTTAAGTCAGGTGTATCTATTCTTTCATTGCGGTGATTTGCAGGCCACCAAAGGCATATTAAATGGTAGAAGAATGTTTTTAAGGGAACAGTTGGGGCACCACTTCCAAACAAGGGGAAACAGGCAAAAATAACAGATTCCTACGTTCATCCTAGGTTCATCAAAGCAGAGTGGATTTAAATGACAGCTTTAACTTGGACTATAAGTGATTTGGATATTACCTGGATTCATTCACCAAGTTATTCCTTTAGATGGATTATCTTAGCAGTTTAATGCATCAAAAAGTGTTTTGTGTTCAACTGTGAAAACTTGATTTTTTTCTGATTACATTTAAAACTAATATTTATTTAGCTGTTTTCAAACATCATATGTAGTTATAATCCAGTTTTAACAATCATCAGCATTTTGCCAATCTTGTATCTGTTGACTGCATTTAAAGTGTTATAAGATATTTTTATAATTGACTCTGTAAAAACTCACAAGACTTACAATGTCTGAGAACTTGCTTTAAGAACATAAATCCAAGTATCAAATGGTCGTAAGTCTCATACCAAAAAACAGAACAGAAGATAGCCCTGTGAAACAGTAATGCATTACTTACCTGGAAGTAAAAATTTTTTTTCCTGTTAGTAAGGCTTTTTACTGGCTTAGGCCTGATGAATCAATTCCTTAAAAACTCACTTTTCAGATGATCTCTACCAAATTTGTTCTGGTCCTTGGAGTCTTTGCAGGTGAATCAGATGTTTTATATGACTCTAAAACCTGGATACCAGTATGCCTATGCATTGTTTGATAGCTGGATACGTTCTCATTTCTTTTGCAGTTGAAAGATGCATGAGTATAATGCAGTCCGGGACACAGATGATCAAACTGAAACGTGGAAGCAAAGGGCTTGTTCGCCTCTTTTACCTGGATGAGCACCGGACACGTCTCCGATGGCGACCCTCTAGGAAGAGTGAAAAGGCGAAAAGTAAACAGATCTTTGAATTCTCTACTTGGCTTGACATAGTAACACATAGCTTATACTGAGTGGGCTCTTAAAGTTTCAGATCTGTGGAACTTTTACTTTTGTAAGTTTGGAGTTAGTTGATTTGGGATGTTGAGAGGCAGAATAGTGACCATCTTTGGGGAATTTAAATCCATAAAAGTTTTCTTGTCCATGAATACTGTAAATGGTAATATTTCCCCTGTGTTGGAGACATGATTTTTTGTTGTTGGAATATATGGTTTTACAGCCTGAGAGCTTTTATGTTCCTACAAATGGTGAGGGACATCATAAAGCTAATAAGCTTTAAAGTGTATTGCCATATTTTGAGCACTATTAAGTAATTAATGAATTAACAACACCATTTCAATTTATCAAGTAAGGTAGTTTTGATGTGACTCCTACTTAAAGCTTCTTTTTCCCACACCATGTTAGTCAGCTTTCCCTAGAGAAACACAATCAATAGGATAGATGGATGGATGGATGGATAGGTAGGTAGGTAGGTAGGTAGATAGATAGATAGATAGATGTATTAGAGAGGACTTAGAAGAATTAGCTCATGTGATTTTGGAGGCCAAGAAGTCACATGATAGGCCATCTGCAAGCTGGAGAACCAGGAAAGCTGGTGGTATAGCTCAGTTTGAGTCCAAAGGCCTGAGAAGCAGAGGAGATGACGGTATAATTCCAAGTCCAAGGTTGAACGCCTGAGATACGGTGACCACTGATGCAAGTCCCAGGGTGCAGAGGCGGCAGGACCTTGGGCTGAGCATAGGCTCATTTCTCTGTGAGTCATGTGGGAAATGAGTTGATACCAGAAAAAAATTGTGACCCTGCCATTAAGGCAGAAGTGAGGGGTAGATGGTGTATATAAATAATCAGTAGGATATACAACACTTCTGATTCCTACTGAAAAATAAACAAGCACACAAATCAAAAATAATTTGTTAGTCTGAAATTATCCTTCTTGCCCTGTGCTTCTTTGATCCAAACTTTCGTATTTGCTCAGCTACGCAAATAATGCTAATTTCTGTGACTCCAGCCACTCCGTAGTCTATCCATTGTCTACCTTTCCAGTTTTATTTCGCATAAGTCTCCTTCTCAAGCTTTCCAGTCCAGCATAAGTGGCCTGGTTAGCATCCCTGGAGTGGGCCTTATGTTTCTGTATCTTTTTCCGCCTCTCCTCTGGTGTCACCTTGCTCCTCTCCACTTCTCCAAGCTCTGCTCTGCCTTTGCCGCTTTAGCCCTATAGCATTTTCTCTAGGAATGCCAATTGCATTTAGCTCGGCTATTTAGGTGTCAGAAGTTTTTTTCCTTTCAGTTTTCTAATGATCTTCTTATGGATGTTGCAAAACACCAAAATGAGCTCTAGGTCTTTGCATATTTTCTCTAAATATGTAAACTATAAATTTGACATAGTCATTGCCACCTTTTCTACCAGTCTTTTTGCCCTAATTGGCATATCTAGTTTTTTACTACAGATTTCAACACATCCTGAATTCCTGCCTTAGGAAAACGTTGTCAAGACAGCTCAGGCAGTGTAAGTGCTATCTAGAGAATGTTTCTAGTGGGAAACAACAGGGCCAGGCTTTCACATTTAACTTGAAACCACAACTTGCAGGCAATTAATTTTTTCATGCTTATTTTTGTTTTTTTTTGGAGATGGAGTCTCGCTCTGTTTCCCAGGCTGGAGTGCTGTGGTGCAATCTCAGCTCACTGCAGCCTGCACCTCCCAAGTTCAAGCAATTCTCCTGCCCAAGCCTCTGGAGTAGCTGGGACTAAGGCACATGCCACCCAGGCTAGCCTTGAACTCCTGAGCTCAGTCCATCCACCTGCCTCGGCCTCCCAAAGTGCTGGGATTACAGGCGTGAGCCACCACGCTTGGCCTCATACTTATTTTTTATATTTAAAATGATTTTGCTTTTCTTGTTTCTTAGTACATGTAAATAAGTATCTTTGCCTGCTGTATAACTATGTGTATATCATTTTCTTCACAGTACTTATTGATTCCATTTACAAAGTGACTGAGGGTCGACAGTCTGAAATATTCCACAGACAAGCTGAGGGGAACTTTGACCCCAGCTGCTGCTTCACCATCTACCATGGCAACCACATGGAGTCCCTGGACCTCATCACCTCCAACCCCGAGGAGGCCCGCACCTGGATCACAGGCCTCAAGTACCTGATGGCTGGCATCAGTGATGAAGACTCCCTTGCCAAAAGGCAGAGGACCCATGACCAATATCCTTTCTAGAACTTTCTTTTGAGCTCTCTCTCTCTCTTGCTTGCTGTGTATATATATGGGTGTGTGTGTGAAGTAAGGATTAGACTGTTTTAATTTTTCCCATAATTTCCCTTTCTCTTTCTTTACCCCTCACACCCTTCTCTCCCCTCCTGACTCTCATTCCAAATTAATAAATGCATGAAATGTAGGGAAACTTAAACTTGTATGAACTCAGGAGGAAAATTCTTTGAAGAGACTCAATCTATCTCCACAATCAGAGGTCTCCAAATATAGCCTCAAGTTTCCTAAGAGAGAGGAAGTGCCCATTAAGTATCATTGCCTTTTTAAAATCATAGGAATATTCATTAACTGGGAAAACACTGATTTGGATTAGAGAAAATTCTACTTTGTTATGAAGTCAGTTTAGTTTAACAAATACTCTGTGAGTTGCAGTTAGGTACTGGGCACTGAGCTTTTTCCTGCTTTTTTTCTTTCTTTTTTTTGAGTTGGAGTTTTGCTCTTGTTGTCCAGGCTAGAGTGCAATGGCACAATCACTGCAACTTCTGCCTCCCAGGTTCAAGCAATTCTCCTGCCTCAGCCTCCCTAGTAGGTGGGATTACAGGTATGTGCCACCATGCCTGGCTAATTTTGTATTTTTAGTAGACACAGGATTTCTCCATGTTGGTCAGGCTGGTCTTGAACTCCTGACCTCAGGTGATCTGCCTGCCGTGATCTCCCAAAGTGTTGAGATTACAGGTGTGAGCCACTGTGCCCGGCCTGCTTTTTTTCCTCCTAACTTACAGTTTGGAGACTGAACTGATTGATACCAAAGGGGAAGTTATTTTTTTACTTACTAATACTTACCCTCTCTTAATTGCTTGAGAAACTGAAATCTAAGTCTCATTCTTGATTAAACCTTGCTTGTGATCCTGCAGTGCTGACAAGATAAATGATTAATGGGGTTGGTCTGCAGGCATCTTTCCTGCTAGGATTGACTGGGCATATAGCAAGGCCTTTCTGGGCTCAATTTCCTGATCTTTAAAGTGAGGGTATTAGGCTAGTTGACTGCTTTTGTTCCCTTCTTCACATTCTGAATGGCCTTAAAATACAGGTGTCTCTGTCCATGCAGAGAATAGAGCTACTCCCTTGCCATCATTGCTATGTGTGCCCTAATTTTTTCCCAGGGGTTGGTGATATATTTGTGCTGCTCTAGCTATAATCCCTTACCCAGGCTATTGTTGGAGCAGAATGGAAATAATTCAGCTCATGAAAGGATCTTGACAGTGTGAAAAGTCTGAGTTGATGAGCCATGATGTTTTCATCAATATTCACAGCATGCAAATAAAGGCAACTGGGATTTAGAAATGAAAAAAACACAAGCAGGATTTAACTTTCTGTGCTTAAGTCTGTTGGTTTGATTTCTAACTCTAACATTTGGTAAAAAACAACCAACCAAAAATACTGAATGTTTTCAGGTACAGATGTCAGAAACCATACTAACAGTGCCTTCCACAATAAAGAAAATTCAGTTTCTCATAAACAAGAGATCTGAGATGGGGCAGTTCCAGGGTCAGCTAATTCACTGGTTCAGTGATGTCATCAGGGACCCAGGTCCTGCCGTTCTCAGCATGTTGGCTTGGTCTTGCAGCTGACTGCCCTTTCGTCAGAGCTGCTGCAGCTTCAGACAGTAGCTCTAAGTACAGCCCTTCATAGAGTTAGCAGAGTTTCTTCTCACAATTTTTTTTTAAAGGGAACAGAAAAAAATTACCAGAAACCCCCCAAAAGACAACTTCTCATCTTTGCCCAAAATTACTATTGCTGGCTCATTCCTAAACCAGTCTCTTGCAGGAGAAATTAATTGACATGATTAAACTTTGATCTCAGAACCCTTTTTTTCCCCGCTTTTAGAAATTGAAGACTTGGGCTAGGTGCAGGGTCTCTTTGCTGTAATCACAGCACTTTAGGAGGCTGAGGTGGAAGGATCACTTGAGGCCAGGAGTTTGAGACCAGTCTGGGCAACATAGTGAGACCCCATCTTTACAAAAAAATTAAAAAGATTAGCCAGTGTGGTGGCACATGCCTGTAGTGCCAGCTACTCAGGAGGCTGAGATGGGAAGATTGCCTGAGCTCAGGAGTTGGAGGCAATGGTGAGCTATGGTTACACCACTGTACTCAAGCTTGGAGAGCAGAGCAAGACCCCGTCTCTTAAAAAGAAGAAAACTAACAAAAAACCCCTGAAGATTCTGAAAAGCTTTTGTTTATGTGGGATCTATTTATTGGTACTTGTCATATTAGAGATTAAATGTGAGACATAAAAATGTGTTTATAATAATAATGAACTCTGTTACATGTTAACATTTTTATAAAAAATATTTTTCAAAACAAAACAAGTTAGAAGAGTAGTATTGCTTTACCGTTTAACAAATCTCTTTAATGTCTGACAATGGAACATATGACTTCTCTTATCTGCTTCTGTGTTCAGTCTGTTGTGATGTGTGGTTTTGATTGAAATACACGAAGAAAATCTAGCTCACACAGACATGTAGTTGGAAAAGGACGAACTTCATGTTTATGGAGACCCCCAGGACTACACTCTGAGGGCAGTTGTATTAAACCAAGATTTACCTCCTCCTGTCCAGTTCCCACTCATCATTAAAGCACATGGCTTTTGGGTGCCTGAACAAAATCAAGGTTGTTGTAGCAAGGAAGAAGAAAGAGCAGTGGCCATAGGGGAAGCAACCAAATCTGGAAGCTTCTAGCCTCACCCAGTTAACTAGGAGAAGTTCACAGCACTCTAGAGCCTTAAGTCACTTATAGAAGTCTCTCTCATAATCCTTGAAAGAGACGAGTTAGAGATGGGCATAAACTGTCTTTTTGCTTTGTTGGTCAAAAGATTTTTGAAACTGTTTGTCCATGTTTACTGGCACTTGAAAGTTTTCATGTTCTATGGGATTCATTTCCTGAAAATATGCTGTTCAGAAAGCAGGTGTACTGTGGCACTACACAGAGAAGCAATTTTATATATAGAAGCAGTTGATTTTTTGTGTCAGTGAAGGAAAAAAAGGGAAATATAATAAATTAATGAATAGTAAAGAGGAAGCTGAAATAAAAAATGAGAAAGGTTATGTTGAGTCAGGGAATCACTTTAATACAGATTTGTCAGAATTTAATAGTGTTTTAGATAACATCCTAATAATGGGATTACATCCTTAATTTTACAAATATTTAATTCTACATTAATGAAGAGAACAGATTTGAGATGTTCGTAATTAGATTTCACTTAGGACTGAAAATTTTAACTGTGAAGGAATAATGAGAATAATGAATCTTAAATGGCTGCATGAGAAAATCCATCCAGTCTAGGGTGTAACTTACTTCTGCAGTATGGCCATGTTGAATGATGGCTATGATGCAGTGCTCATACTTACTAGAAGAAATCCAGTGTCATTAAGGGATCAGACCTGGTGCTGCACTGCCTAGGGTAAAGCCCCCACTCTCCCTGTACTGTGTAAATTTGGATAAATTACTTATGTTCTTTTGCCTTCAAGTCTTTTATCTGAAACATGGTAATGATGATAATGATGGTATCCACAATAGAGCTGTGTGAAGATCAAGTGAGTATATTTACATAGTCTTTAGAACACTGCCTAGCACCTAATAAGCACTTTACAAGTAATAGGAACTGTTGTCATTGCTAAAAAGAGGTAGAGTGGCAAATCTTTAGCTTTCCTATTCGGGTAAATGAAAGCCTGAATTCTCAGCAGATCTGTATGCAAAGATGATAGTGATGGATCAGCAATTTTCTCCATCAGACCGTTCTCCTTCATATTTTCCCCTCCTTATCTTATGACCCTATGAGGGAAATTATTACCTCCAGAAGGCTTTAGGCAGCCTGTTATGCATGTTGTAAATTCAGACTTTATTCTTTCCCCACAAACTGCTGGGCAAATCTGGCCCACTCCTGATTTTTGTGTGAACTCCTGAGCTAAGAATACGTTTTAAATGGTTAAAAAAATCAAAAGAAAAACATTTTATGACCTGTGAAAATTATTTGAAATTAAAATCTCAGGGTTCATAAATAAAGCTTTATTGGAACACAACCATGTTCATTAATTTATGTCTGTATGGCTACTTTCTCATGACAGTGACTGAGTGGAATAGTTGCAGCTGAGAGCAAATGTCCTGCAAAACTTAAAATATTCACTATCAGGCCCTTTACAGAAAAGTCTGCCCTCCCCTGTAGTAGACAGGATCATTCAATGCTTTACATGCTCCTACAGTCTCTTCACAGAAAATCCTAGACCATTACTTTGCAATCAGTCTCACTCAGATTCCTCTGTGGAATGACTGATTTCTCTTTTTAAACTTATTATATGTGTGGCTATAAATTATTAATTCAGGGCTTTATTGGGCACTCATACCTTAATTATAAAGAACATGTTTAAGATATCAGGACATTTTTACCTGGAGTTTTATACCATGTGAACCATTACTGGAAAGAATAGCTTTTTCATTTATGAAATCTTAGGGTTGGAAGGGATTTCAAGGTTAAAAGTTGTGCTCCTTGACATTGTAGGTGAAGAAACGGAGGCTTCAAGAGGTGTTGTGAGTAAACCACGGTCACAGGGCGAAGTAAGCAGTAGAATTAGGACTAGTGTATATTTCTTGGTTTGATTCCACCTCTGTTTCTACTTTACCAGTCCCCTAAACCAATAGTCAAGGCCAGTTTCCATGTTGGTGCTAAAGGCTTTGCAAACACAGGCTTATCCTAAAGGATTGTATCTGCAGAATACAGTCATGCTTAGGGTTTGGCTGTCCCTGCCTCTTCTCTGGAGAAGACTTTGAGAGGCTTTGATAAAGAATTATAGAATAAAATGATAAAAATATTACTGCCATTGGACTCCTTTCATCACTTCCTTGAACTCCAGCCATATACTTTGTGGAACACAGAGTAGTGTCCACAGTCGAAAGCCCCAAGTGGGTGCTGCATGCCTTGAAAACACAAAAAAATGAGACTCAGGCACCTATTAGTTAATTGTGCCAAATGTTTCACCCTTTTGGTTCTTCAGTTAATTTTCCCCCAGATCTGGAACTCCCTTTAACTTTTAGGGATCATATAAAATGAAGTCCTAACAAGTCTATGGGGAAAAATTGAACTAGAAAGAGCTGAGCTACTTATTTTAAAATGTTTTAAAGGGAAAAAATGTGAAATAAGGTATTTACAAAGTATGAAATAAGGAAATCTGAAAATCTCCTCTATTTAATTTTAGAAGGAATAATACTTTACCCGTCTGGGTGCTTTTATTTTCTGAGGTATAATCTACAGTCATAATCTGAATTGCATAGAAAATGGAAATATGCTATGCCCTCTCCTCTGATACACATTCATTCTCCCATTTTTTGGTTTTAAAACTATAGCTTTCTCTTACTTTGATTCTCTGGTTTCTTCTATCATCTTATTCCTTTACTCTCCATCACCCTTCAAACTTTGAAGTTTAATTCAGTTTTCTAAATTTGCACACAATACCTGCTTTTGTAACCTACCCCTCAACAACTATGAATCATCCATTTAAAAAAATCCTTTGCTAAAAGTTAACTGGGAATTTTCAATTCCTGTATTTATTACCATTTCATCTGCTGTATCACTATGTAAAGCAACCTAAGGCTTCTCTCATTGAGGATCCTTTAAAATTTCGGTTCACATGGTGTAAATCTTCTGTATCTAAACTCAGACTCTTATTCCCAGTCACCCCATCTCAGACCTGAGCTTTGAGGCCACCTCCTAGCACATTATACTCGTATTTCACATTACCTGCCTGTGATTTAGAAATTTGGGCTGATTAGGTGAGAACCATTAAAGCTAGTAATAGGAAGAGAAGCATAGTGTAGAGACAGACCTTATGTGTGGAAGAGCATGCTAGATCAGGTACAAAAGGCCTGGGTTGAGACCTGGTTCTCATACTAATTCTTACCATATTTCTCCCTCTCCTCTCATTTTATAGCTTTATCTGAACAATAAAGAGATTGAACTAGATGGCCTAATTTGCTAAATGTTGGAGTGGGACTGAGAAAAGAGAATTGAAAAGAAAAAGATACTAGGTAAAAGGGCATAGGAGAAGATAAGCCCTATATTTATGATATTTGGAGTTTCATCATACAGAGATTCTTAAACAGAAAGCGGTGAAGAGCTGTAATACAGGGCCGTTCCTGCTACATGCCATCTATATGCTTCATAAATGAAGAACTCTAACCTTATGAATGGGAACTAGTAGGGACACAAGGTTTGTGTTATGAACATGGCAGCATAACTAAGAAAAGCTGGTCAGGAAATGAGAAACAAAAAGGGATAACGTTTAAAGTCATATAGAAATATTTATGTTTATGGAGCTTGCTATTGGAGGTGTGAGGTAAGGTGTTATTGTCTTGCTAGACTGGAATTAGAACAAGTAATGTAGTGTTTCTCTCCTACAGTTGATCAAATATAGTGTTTTATAATAATAGGTTTGATATTTAATTTGGATAAGATTGAGTAAGAATGTTTGAATTAAAGGTGCTCAAAATAATTTGTTTTATCTCTCATTTCTCAGTGGAGGGAACCCCGGCCTTTATTTTTTGGGATGGATTTTTGGTCTTGTCGCCTGTGCTGGAGTGCAGTGGTGCAATCTTGGGTCACTGCAACATCTCCCTCCGGAGTTCAAGGATTCTCCGGCCTCAAGCTCTCGAGTAGCTGAGATTACAGGTGCCTGCTACCATGCCCGGCTAATTTTTATATTTTTAGTAGAGATGGGGTTTCACCATGTTGGCCAGGCTGCTCTCAAACTCCTGACTTCAGGTGATCACCTCCCTCAGCTTCCCAAAGTGCTGGGATTACAGGTGTGAGCCGCCACGCCTGGCCGGGAACCCCCTTTATATGTTCTCCTTCCGTTCCTGGTTTGTTGTTGTCATCATTGTTGTTGTCATCACTATTAGTAGCTCATCGGAACCTATGGATTGCAGGGCCTCCTCCAAAGAATTTCTTCTCAAGTTCTGTTACTGACACGTCCTTGTGAGTATTCTGTGAGGGCAGTTTTTAATTTTGGTGAGAACACAGGTTTTTTTTTTAATTTGTATATATTTTATTGCGTCTTAGGTTTTGGGGTACATGTGAAGAACATGCAGCATTGTTGCATAGGTACATACATGGCAATGTGATTTGCTGTCTTCCTCCCCATCACCTATATCTGGCATTTCTCCCCATGTTATCCCTCCTCAAGTCCCCATCCCCCACTGTCCCTCCCCTAGTTCCTCCCCCACAGACCTCAGTTTGTGATGCTCCCCTTCCTGTGTCCATGAGAACACAGGTATTTCCTTTGACCTTTCTGCACATGGGTGAAACAGACCTTTGAGGAAGCTGATAAGAATGGTGATGGCTTGTTGAATATTGAAGAGATACATCAGCTGATGCATAAACTGAATGTTAATCTGCCCCGAAGAAAAGTCAGACAAATGTTTCAGGTCAGTTTTCACAATTTCATTGGCCTTATATAAAATACACAGAGGTTATTGATACGCTTAGGTATGTTAAGAGGCTATTTTGCTTTGTTGGAAGCTAATATATGTGCTCTGTACTATTTTTCTTCGATGAAGAAATGATTTTGTTTTATCAAGTAAAAAGACTTTATAAACTTAACATGTGTCCAAAATTTCACTTCCTGAAATGCTTTTCTGTTATTGTTGCTGTTTTCCTGACACTTAAATAATGGAGGAAACTTGATTGAGTCTTTTGACAGAACAATAATACCTCATTTCCCTACCTCATGGGGCTGTTGTGAGGATCAGAATAAAGACTAGGTAACATGACCAAAAAATAGCACTTGTCTAAAACCTCAAGAGCTCTCTAGTTCGTCTCTGAGGAGTTCAAGATTTAGTATCCATGAGGATTAGGAGGGCAATTCACTCCTACCATTTAGGGAGCTCTCTAGAATTTCATTCCACTCCTTGTTGATGTTAGATGAAATGCTCTTTCCCTGTTGATAAGTCATTGAGAAAAATCCTTGAGCCCAGACTTATTCTGTGGCATCCAGCTAGGACTGCATTTAGTCCTCATCTGAGGTGCAGAAGTGAGCTCTTGTTTAAGTCAGAGCAAAGACAATGTTAGGCTATTAGAAATTACTGGAGTATTAATTTATAAAAGGTTGTTATTTGAAGATAAGTCGTGTGTATAATCTATGTTTTGGAGTGATTTTCTATTCTAAAGGAGCAGGTAGGTGATACCTTGTACATGTAAAAATAAGCCTAGGAGGGCACTATGATGTTTAATGTTTTGTGCTTGTTCTTTAAGATGGTAAGAACAGAGACCACATGGGGTATATGTTGCAACAACAAATGGAAGACAGAGGCTGGCTCTGTTCTGTGACCTTTTAGGGTGGCCCTGTTCTTGGTTGGAGATGGTTTGCATTGTGGGAAGCTGAGTCCCATTGCACTGGAGAACAGTATGAGAGAATGGGAAGAGGAGGAAGGAGTGAGATTTGCTATATAGGAAACCTGAGAGATGGAGTGAAGGACTTTGGAGGGAAAATGAATTATGTTTAAACATATGGGAAGGTTTGACATGTTTCTGGTATTCCTTGTCATCCCGCTCTTGCCTGCTATGAGCTCCACCTCCTATCTGTTCATTTGCATGGGAGCCGATCACAGCATTGAAGAGGTAGCTGCTGATTCATTGTAAGAGGCAACCTTAAAGAGGAGGGCAAAGTCTATACCTATGCAAATCATGATTTCATGGGTAATTTTGTGAAGTCAAATTTGGAAGTATTTGTTCATAATTGACCCAAGGTTAGCAAAAGTTTAAAAAGATTTTAATGACCACTAAGACTTTCAAACCTTTGTTTAAAACCATGTAACAGTTGAGTATCCTTCACAAAATCTATGCATTTCAAAATGCCATTCATTCCCTTTCTGTTTTTGTTTAGTTACAATTGTGTTCACTTAGAATGAAGAAGATCACATAAATGGGTCAGTTGCTCATTGTTTATCCCCAATAGTTTTATGGTTTTATGAATCATTCAGCCAACCAGTAAGTAAGGCATATGATGAAAGCTTTGTGCTCAATAATTACTAGAAACAGATAATTTTAACAAGAAATCAATCCAGATGGATTATTCAGACTTTTCTATGGAGGGAAAGCAGGGAGTTACCAATGATGCCCATGGATTTAATAGCATCAGCCCTACCCATGGCTAATTAAGAGAGATTCTCTCATAGGTAAAAATTATATTTGATTGGATTATAGTTCAGAAACCAATGAAAGACTGGTATTTTTCTCATGTGTTAAATATATCTTCTTTCTTTTGTTCTTGATTAGTCTTGTTCAAGCTTTCTCATTTTTATTGGTTTTCTAGAAATCAGGCTTTGGTTTTCCTTCTCACCTGTATGTTATAGCTGTTGGTTTTCTATTTTATTACTTTTTGCTTTTGTTTATAATTTATTTCCTTCACTTAATTTTTTTCACATTTTGAGTTGAATTATTAGCTTTTTAAAAAAATCTTTGCTCTCATAAAATTAAGACTTCAAGTTTCATTCTAATGTTATTTTATAAGTTTTAATGTGTAGTGTATTTTTCACTTCTATATATTTCATTTCCTGTTTAGAATTGTATTGTTTCTAGTTTTTTTTTTCTTTTTAGCTTTCTTTGTTGATTTATAAATTTACAGTGGTCAGAACAGTTGGTTTGTATTGTTATACCTGAGCGAGTTAGAAGGAAAGCGCCACACCCTGAGTTCCAATGGAGAGTCCTTTATTGTCGGCAACTGAGAGTCAGCTCACGCTCACAATCTCTCAGCCCTGAAGAAGGGGTTTGATTCCTTTTTATATCTTGCTTAAGAGAGGGGAGGGGGAGACTACCTGAAGCAGAATTTATAGAAGCAGAACAAGCAAGTTAGATAAGGAGGCTGGTAACTAGGAGACAGGAGGTTCCCATGATTGTTGATTACTAAGGAGAGTATACACAAGTGGTTCCCATGATTGCAATAACCAAGAGGGCTATTTGGTACTTGCCATACAATCAATCAAGGGGGTATTAACAATAGCAAGCGGGCTTGCCAAGCAGGATATGGTTACAATGGTTATATGCCTCTGTAGTTCTAAGCACAGCATGACCCAGCACAGTAGCATGACCCAGGTATGCACTCAAGGGAGAAATGGTGGGAGGGGTGAGGTGGAGGTTAAGATGGAATCTGTCTGGCTCTCAGCAAGATGGAGTCTGTCAGGCTAACACAGAGTAGGTTAGCACAGTATGACGCTAATTCTTTATAATTTGTTGAAACTTTCTTTCTGGCCAAATATGTGGTCACTTTTTATAATGTTCCATGTGTGCTCACCACTTGGGATTTGTGTACTAGCACTTTTCTGGTAAATATTATTTCCCAGTACTCAATTTCCTATTTCTAACCTTCAAATTACTTTATTTTTCTATGCCCTTTTCAGGAAGCTGACACAGATGAGAATCAAGGAACTTTGACATTTGAAGAGTTCTGTGTTTTTTACAAAATGATGTCTTTGAGACGAGATCTTTATTTGTTGCTTTTGAGCTACAGTGACAAGAAAGATCACCTAACTGTGGAAGAACTGGCTCAGTTTTTGAAGGTGGAGCAAAAGGTATCATTTGACTGTTAAAATGAAAGTTTGCTTAAAAGTACTCATGAAAGATACAAGGCTTTCTTTTGGTGTTAAATATAGGTATGCTTTAAATTTCGCAAAGGGAGTAAATATCACAGGTTCACAAAAATCTTATCCATGAGTCATTTAAAACAATTTTTAGCAGCTTTTAAGAGAGGAAGTGGTAACTTGAACACTGGGTTATATAATTCTTAACCTTAAATGCATTGAGTACAGATATGCACATTTTTCCATATAGAAATTAATGTTAATATTTTAATACAATGGTAATGCTTTCTTTATACTAATACTATGATGTATTAATAATATTAGTTTAAATTTATACTTTATATTAGTATAAATTAGTCAAATTTATTTATTTTAAATATAAATTTATATACTAATAAAATAGCTAGATATTTAACTGTGACATAATTCTTAAGTACTATCATGGTAGGCCATTGATAATTCTGATAAACTGGCATTTGATCATGTGAAAAGGCTAAGTGAATTAGGTCCTGATTAGCAAAGAGAGCCTCTATGGGGTGAGTTAGGGTCAGCAAAGCAAGTCTTCTCAGTCTGCTTTCTAAATATCTCCTCAAAGTCTGTTTTGCACTAAAGTGGAGGAACAAATGAATGTTTCATTCAAATTTTTTAACCTTTTATATTAGACTTCTTGAGGGGAGACTTTTGTTTTGTGCAGTTGATGAGGTTTACTTTTGATTTCCTTAATGGACTAATTGTCTTAATATAGAAAGATGCTTAACTCCTTTGTTCATTTTAAGTCAATGGCATTTAGCTCTGTTGAAATCATTTAAAAGAATCATCAAACATTTGGACTCTATAGTACAATAACCAGTGGAAATAATTCTACAGTACTCACACAAATAATCAGCCAGCTTGTGCTTGAACACTTTTAAATTTTTTAATAAAAGCTTTATTGAGATATTATTCACATACCATAAAATTCACCCTTTTAAAGTATACATTTCAGTGGTTTTTAGTATATCAAAAGAATTTTGCCACTATTGGCTGGGCATGATGGCTCATGCCTGTAATGCCAGCACTTTGGGAGGCTGAGGTGGGCAGATCATCTGAGGTCAGGAGTTTGGACCAGCCTGGTCAACATGGTGAAACCCTGTATCTACTAAAAATACAAAAGTTAGCTGGGTGTGGTGGCAAACCCCTGTAATCCCAGCTACTTGGGAGGCTGAGACAGGGAGAATTGCTTGATCCCAGGAGGCAGAGGTTGTAGCGAGCTGAAATGGCACCACTGCACTCCCGCCTGGGCAACAGAGCAAGACTCCATCTGAAAAAAAATAAAAAGAGTTGTGCAACTATAACCACTATCTAACTTCAGAACATTTTCAGCACCCTAAGAAGAAACCCCATACCTATTAGCAATTATTCCCCATTTCTTTCTCCCCCACAGGCTGTGGCAACAACTAATATTTCTATCTACATTATTTGTCTATTCTGGACATTTCATGTAAAGGGAATCACATCATATGTGACCTTTGTGATTGGCTTCCTTCATTTGACATAATGTTTTCAAGATTCATTCATGTTGTGGCATTATCAGTACTTCATTTCTTCTTATTGCCAAATAACATACCATTGTATGAATATATCACATTTTGTTTATGTATTCATCAGTTGATGGAAATTTGGGTCATTTGCTTTTTTGAGGCCATTATGAATAATGCTGCTGTGAACATTCATGTACAAGTTTTTGTGTGGACATACGTTGTCAAGTCTCTTGAATATATATCTAAGTGGAAAAGCTGGGTCACATGTTTGATCCCTTCTTTCAATCTGGATCTGGATATTGCAAAGACTTTATGTGAACCAGGATAAACTTCTACCACAGAGCCCCAGTGAATAAAACATTGGATTAATATCTGAATATCAGAGAGGGATAAATTTCCACTAGCTCTTAAGAAGTATAACTGAGGATGTTCTGGATGACTTTGACAATTGTGTTTTCTTCCTTCAAGGTGAGATGCTATGAAGGAGAGTGAAGTATGGGTGGGTACTTGGATTAGTAAAATTTCAAATTAATTCATTTCCTTGTATGAATAAATATTTCCTAGGCATTGTGCCAAGTTTTGATAATGGACAAAACCTACCCTCAGAAAGCTCAAAATGAAGAGCTTTTTTTTTTGGTACTTTATGATTTTGAGCGTCTATGATGAAAGAGAATGCTAAGAAATAAACAACATGCTTTTTAAAGTTTGCTGGATTTTTCCTTTTTGAGGTAGAATACAATTTATTATAATTATTGTGCTGTATTTTTTTTCTGGAAAATTTCCTTCTTTAGAAGAAGTACCTTTGTGAAGATACTAAAAATTTTAATTAGTAATACATTGTTAATATACATGAAATCACGCTCACTTGGTTTTAGTACTAATTTGAATTAAATTGAATATTTGAAGTGATTATCATTTGAGAGTTAATTCTTTTAACTTTCTTTAATTTTCTCCTACATACACTGGAAAATTATGGTACACTTGGTGTAGTCTAAAACCTATTTGACATTCATAATTCGAGCTAGTAAATGCTGCTTTTGGATTTATAAATGGCAAAAAAGTCTCACTGATTCAAAATCTGCTCTTATTTATATTAACAAACATTTATAGCATTTAAATGCAATATTTGAATTTTTTAAATGTGAGATTAATTTGGTGATCAGATTCTTTAACATTTTGCTTTAGCAAGAATGAAAAAAAGTAGAAAGTATTTGGTAAACCAAATCGATATATGTTTTTTTCTGAATGATTTACTTATTATTGAGCCATAGGATAAAATATTTTCATGGCTTTTGAAACATATCTCCATAATGATATATAAGAGATTTGTTTCAGTTTATAATTAAGAAAGCAGTGAGCAAATTATTAGTTATTAAATGGATCACTTTTAGTGCTAATATGGTAGCTATAGAATAAGTTAATATTTGTTTGGTTAATATTTTTGGATAGCAGGGATGAATATTTTTCCACGTTTGTTTTTTATTTGTAGTTTTTGAACTTTGAAGTGCTTTTTAAAATACAGAAAAATCTGTATGCATTCTGTCCTGTTTTTCTGTTGTTTATTGCCTCTGTGTGTGTGTGTGTGTGTGTGTGTGTGAGAGAGAGAGAGAGAGAGAGAGAGAGAGAGAGAGAGAGGAAGAGACAGGCAGACAGGCAAACACAGAGACAGAGACTAACAGGCAGACAGACTGGTTTTCCCCCAGTAATTCCAGGTGGATATTTATTCTGTTTAAATACCATTAAAGAACCAACCACTAGCACCACACTAAGTTCTTATTTGAGAGGTGGCAATACGCAAGTAGGAACCAGTTTCAATGCCTTTCTTGATGTCTCTTTCAAACTCCCAAAATTAAATGCATTAAACATGTTTTCTGATAATATTTCTCTCATCCTCTTCATCAGTAATATTAATCACCTCTTTTAAACAGATTAACATTTCATTTGGCAAGGAATTTTTAAAAATTACTAGATTATGTGGTAGAATGACAGTGAGCAGGACTGGAAACACGCCTTGCTTACCTTGTGATCTGATTGCATTAACTTTTCATCCTTGACTTTGTGAGTTATAAATGCTTTTGGTAGTAACATTGCCCTTGGAAGAGTAGTGTGAGAATTAAATAAGTTGTGGATGTAAGTTCCTAGTGCATTGCCTGGTTTATTAGCTGGACAGATCTGGCCATTTCCAAGGAGCAATGTGAGATTCCTAGTGGGCAAGTAGGAATCTGCACATGTACTTGGCTGTAAAATTCCGTGGGTGTGGAGAAGGATGTTTTCCGTACTCGTCACTAAGGTCATAGCAGAGGTACCTATAACAAAAGACCGATTAACGAGAAAAACATACAAATATGTCTAATAGGTTTTTAATAACACAGAGGAGCCTTTATAAGGTACTGAAGACCCAGAGAGTCAGGCAAACCTGTGTATTTCTTATGCTAGGTTTGATGAGGAGTGGACAGTCATGGAGAAATATGTTTACAGGACAAGGGGATGGTCTATTGACAGTAAATAGGGAATTTAGCAAGGCATGCTTGTTCAGATTCTTCTTGGCATCTCTGTGTCTTTGGTTCCTTTCTTCTGGGTATTGGGAAGGTGTCCATGGTCTCTTGAATGAGGGTCACATGGCCTGCTTCAGGGGAAGCTCAGAAAATTCTTCCTAGGTTTTATGGGTGGAAGGGCTGGGATAAGGCCAGAGATACCTTTCCTTTTCTGCAGTTTTCACGAATGCCAGGGTGCTGTACTTTAGGGTACCATGTACTAAACACCAACAGCTCTGTACATCATTAGAATTTTCTTCCAAATTACTTTTCCTTTACTCTCCTGCCCCAAGTCTGTCATGGTGTGATATAATAAAATATATATTTGGTCTTTGTTCCAGTTCCTGACACAGAGCTTCTGAAACCCTTAGAATTTCCTGAGAAGTATTTATTATTATTTATAATGAGCCCGTTTTTACCATATCTGAGTTTATGCTAGTGAGGTAACTATAGGTGGGCCCCTGGATAGTTTCAGGTAGGGGCAGGTAGCCAGCAAAACCAACTATGTGATTAGATAACTTGCTAATACCTACTTAATGTTTTATTTTACCTTATTACCATAATCACATACATTTTAGAAATAATAGATTCACTTTTTATGAAATTTGTTGTTGCGTTCTTAAGGATTAAACCAGATAGTATTATTAGCAAAATGTTTTTATCAAAATTAGTTACTTTAAGTACTTTGATAGTTTGGCAGAGGCAGAGATTCTTTATTAACAATGTTAGCTGTAGGACAGGCCGAAAGAGGGAATAGGATAATAGAAATATATGTATTCATTTAGAGGATATGTCCTTTCTATATCTTTACTCCTCTGTGTCCCTCTTTTACATAACTACTTCTCCATCCTTACTTGCAGAGCTTTCATAGTGTACTGGAAAGACCATTAGACCAGGAATCCAAAACACCTGCATTCCACACACTGCAAGCTTTAGT